TGACGACAGAGATATGATCCCGTCGTCAGACATAACCTGGATTAAGTGGAAATAACATAATTATGTTATTTCCACTAGTTTCTAGCTTGGTTAAATTAGTAATAGCTACAAACAAAAATGTATAATTTTTAAATAGTTTAATCTTAAATAAACAGAGGCAGGATTGCCAAATTATAAAAAAGTTAAATACTTTTACACATTTTTAACACTATGTGTAATTAATTTATTCCACTTAATTTCAAATTCTTTACATCATAATGATAATAGCAGAAGTAATTAAAACTGATACAACTATACTAGCAATAATTTTTCAGTAATGTAGCTAGTTGAATGTGTACAAGTTATCCTTTTAGTATACCAAATATATATAGTATTGCTTTCTTCTTCAACATCTATAAGTATTTTTTCTTTTTGTTTGCAAATATCATTTAAAATTCAATCTTCACATTTTTATATTTTGTTTTTATTTATATGTCTTGTATACTTAAAACATGATCTATTATTAATTTGAATGCAATATTTAGTTTTGTAGTTTAAAGTATATATTCCATTTCAGAAAATATTACAGTATTTTCAAAATAATAAAAATTTTCAATGTAAATTGTAATCTATTATTCTTAATACAGTATATTATTATTAATTAAACTTTATTTTAATAAATTTAAGCACTGTATATATGTAACTGATTTTGGTAGCAATATTAGGTGGGTCACTGCAAATAAACAATCAATTATATACTGAATAAGGATTTGGTTTTGTGTATAATATATAGAGAGGCATCCAATAACCTGAGTTATTTGATAGTCCTGATTATAGTAAAGTATCAGATAAATACTCTTTTAGCATAAATCATATAAAAAGTATTATATAGTAAAGCTATATTATATAATTTATATAATTATAAGTAATATGTAATACAGTCTGAGATATTTTCAAATTTGATTGAGTGTAACAGAATTATCTAGAATTTGGAAGATCATCAACAATCTGTAAAAATGAATTTGATTGGCTAATTTTACAAAATTTTTTTATCTTCACATGATTTTTTTTTTAAATCTCTAGTTATCAAAGTCTACAAACATATAGTGAAGTTAGTATTTAAAGACTTGAAGATTTAGAATCCACCGAAGTTACAGTTGAATCCACTCATCTGCATAAGTTGTGCTTGATCAAAAAATAGATAGCTGGTTAAACTTTCAACGGTCATTAAAAGTTTAAATCTGCTTTCCTAATGATTAATCCCGTTAAAATTATCATTCCAACTCAGTTTAAGAGTTATGTAATTAGATACGGTGCATTTGCAGTTATAGAACTTGTATTGTGTCAATTTAGCATTAATAAGTAATTCTCTGCATTCAATATTCGTAATAGAAAAGGCTGACTATATTCTGAATTTTTTTACAAAAGCTTAAGACTAAAGGTATCAGTATTGGGCTACCATTTCTTTTAGTGTAATTAGTGGGTTTAATTATTTTTATGCTAAATGTGAATTAGTATTTTAAATTGCTTACAAAAAATCCTATTACAGATTACTCCTGTTAATATCAACCTCGTTAATATCAACCAAAGCCACAAAACAAATTTTTATAAACTTTTATATATCAAAATTCCTCATATATATCAACTTTAATATGATTTCTCGTTAATATCACTATCAACATGATTTAAAACTAATTCAAAATCGGTTGACATTAACGAGAGTAACCTGTATTCCAAATATATAGATAGATGATGGTAAGGCTTTAATCATGAACTTTGGCATGTGAATAGCAATTCTACTTCGAGCTTATAAATGCTATATATTAAGCTATAATGCTATCTTTATTGTGAACGCAGTAAAGATTAAAGGAGATAAACAATCTGATATTTATAATCTGGACTGAGTAAGTAATTGCAAAATACTTTTTAACTACTTTGAATATCAAATTGTTATTTTTATATAATCATAATATTAATGATATTTTTTTTCCATAGAGTAATTTATTCTTAACAGGTATATTTATTAAATATTTATAATGCAATTCACTTAACTTCTTTTATGTTATTTCTTCATTCACAAGTTCTTTATCTATATTTTCTTCATCTACAGCTTCTTCAGCATTATTTAAGCCTCATATTTCTTGCAAGATTGTTAGAAGTGTTGCTTTGGTCTTATTTTTTAAATTATTGTACTTCAAACGTTGTAATTCTGGAAATGATATAAGTATTGAATTAATAACTGAAATAAGTTCTTCTTTTGTCATTGAATTTTTATTTTTTAATATTTCAGCCTCCTGTTTAGTTACCGGGATAGCTTGCTATGTACTAGTATTAGTTTTGTGTAGCAAGGTATTTTTAAGAAATATTTGTCTTTTTTCCTATGCAAGCGCACTAAAAGATTTCATTTCCTCACTCAAATTTACATCATTATCTAAATTAGTGAATGCGTTATTCACTTTTATTGGATTTAAAAACTGTTTTTTTCTTAGATAAGTACGAAAGTGTTGCTGCTCAATATAAGAATTAGGTCAGGTTCGTGGTTCTGAATTTTTAGTATCTTCGTATCCAATAATATTAAAAAGGTTGGTACGTAGCTATATTTTTGTTAAATGTCAGAATTAATTTAATCAAATAATATATATTTATTAAGTTACCTTTAAAAAATTAATATAATTTCTGGCAGCAATTTTCCAGTGATGTTGCGATGGTATCGGAGGAATCAAGGACTTTAATGCTTTATTAATCTCTTCTACAATAGCATCAAGTCCTTGATACTGATTTTGATGTCCTGAACGAGATATTACTGAAATATTTTCAATAGTTTTACGAATTTCAGGCTTCAAATTTAATAAAGTTTCCTCATATGATACTTCTAATAATTTATAAATAGGATGACATCTAGCTGACCAAATTAGTGCAAATTGACGTCTGGCTGCATTTGAGTGACGACTGATTCGCGCTTACATTGTCAGAGATATTAGTGATCGATAACAAATGACGACGGTGACATATATGCATCATCATTCGAGTGACGATTGGTTTACGAGTTTGTCGTCATTCGAGTGACAAATGGTTTACGAAT